TTGCACTGCAGTGGTAATTCACAAGCATAATCATCATGCACCACAGTCTTGAATTCCTGGGCTGAAGCGATTCTCCTGTCTCAGTCTCCAAGTAGCTGAGACTATAGGCACATGACATTGCACATTCCTCCTTCTTTCAAGCTTTTTATTATGGAAAAATTTAAGTATATACAAACAGAATAAAACTCTATGTATTCATCACCCAGATTCAACAATTACCAGTTCTTTAAGTCTTCTCTATCTCTGATCAGCTTCATGTCTAGCCCTAGGCCCTTCACCATACCTCTCAACTGTTAGCTGCTTTGGGCTTAACAGGGAGTTGAGAATTGGGAGAACCAGAAGAGAAAATGAGAGGGAAGTGCTGAAGACAGGGATAGCTCTGTAAGTAATCTATATGCTGCTAGACGTTGATAATTGCGTTAAACCTCCAAAGATAGAGTAACTGAATCAATTCTTGATTACTCCCCATTTTAAGTAGGGTGGACCTGATATGTTACATATGAATTTCAGCGTTTGATACTGCATGTACCTATGGTGGCTATGTAGACTGAAAGAGAAGTTGTGTACACCAAAGACAGGCAATAATGGCGGCTCTTATGCTCTGGCTTCTACTGCCTAAGAATGAGTGGCAGTACTTTTCTCAAGCGAGATAGGAGACTAAAACAGCTATACTCCCAAATTCCTACTGGACGTAAGATGAAGGGGTCAGAAATGGAATGATTCCTCTGGCCAATACCAGGATTTGTCAGTTCCTAACAAGCAGAACAAAGATACCCACTCCCAGACATGTATACATATAATATGTAAAATTCATACACATGTTTCTACATACATACACAGCTGCCTTATTGAAATAGAGATAGAAGTTTTCTTATAAACTGGGAAACGGTTTCAAAATTCTGTCATTTAATTATCTTTTTATTAAGTTGGTTACCTTGATGCTATGATACGGTACCAATAGGAGTCATCAATAGTCAAATCTGGGTACTCTACACGTCCAACTCCAGATCCAACATCCCAGAGGAAACTGACTTTGCCTTTACGCATTTCTATAGCCAGAAAGTCAATCTAGCTCAGAGAAATACAAAAACAAGAGATATCAGCTATAAAGCACTTTTAAAGAGGAGACCAGCAGAGTGTTTTTCAATAAGTGCCATTTGCAGACATGTAAAATATTTAGAAGCTTCATGATAATATTTGTCAAACAGTATTATTTATTATTATATATTAATAGAATAATATTTTATTTTTGTATCCTTAAGGCAAAAAAAAAATCCATAATGCTCAGGCATGTTTGTTAATTTTACCAATTCTAGTTAGGTCTAATTTTGAGATAAAAGCCTTTCTCACTCTGGTACTTGTGGTAAAGATAAAAGCAAATATTTAAATTCAGACTTCATTATTATTTTCACCAAGGACATTGTCATTTTTCAGAGGGCAACTATGATTTTATTTCCCAAATTGACCCAGAATTCCTTACCCAAATGGCAAATATTGACTCATGCCATGACTGATTTATTAAGAAGTCTTACTCATTTTGGAAGATCCCCATGCATGCAAAGTCAAATAGTTCAAATGGAAGAAATCAGAACTTTATAGGTGGGCTTTTATAGACATAATCTGTGTTATTTCAATTTGGGTCATAAATTCAACACAAGTTTGAAGAGTTTTCTCTGGTGAAAAAAATTAGTACACACTTTGCTATTTTCATTTCATTAACAGAAGAGTTTGTTGTAATTTAGTTTGAACAGTAAATAAAAGAAATAAATAAAAAGTAAATAAAATAGTTTTCTTCTTATTAGCCTTTTTCTTAAATCACTGACTCTAAAAATGTAATTTAAAAGAAATGCTGTTATACTGACAAATGAAAGTAAATGTGAATACATACTGTAGTTTTCTTCCTTTCATTTGACTTACAACTTAATTTGACACTTCAGAATTTTGTGAGGTAAGATGCTGAGGTTTTCAAATCTGAAAGCCTACATTAGACAATTTGGGGACCATGTTACTGGATTCTATACATTTTCCCAAATATCAGGATTAATCTCCAGCTATACACATACAGCAGCCTAATGAAAAGTTCAATATTAGACTTACAAATTTGGCACTTCCAAGATAAAAAAGGAGGTTGTCAGCAACAGCTGTCTTTACGTTGACAACAATATTATTATAACTTCCTTTCTTGATTTCTGGCCTGTATGTTCGAATGCAGTCACCTCCCGAAGACACAGATACTTTGATCTTTAAGAAAAACAAGGTATGAAGAACTAAGAGTAAATCTCTCAGAAAGTTTGAAGTAGCTTCCAAACAACCAGAAAGCCATCATTGCTTTTTCTTTGAAGTTATTTTCCTATCATCACATAGCATCATTAAACACCCATATGCAGACACCATTATACTCATTAATGAGGGCACAGAAGAGGAGTTTTCCAGTAGAATTTCGACAATGAGTTGTACACAGTTCCATGTCATGTAAGTATACTATTTTTTGAAGCATGCAACTAACAAATTTCTACTGTCATACCTTTGTCCATTATGAATATGGGAACGTTTTAAAAAGGTGATTTTACATGGAGCTAATGAGAATGATCTTTATTAAGGTTGTTTAATGAAATTTTACAATTGAAATTTCAGCGGTTTTGGTATCACTTAAACTAAGAAACTATTTTTCTTTCAGTTTTCAAGAGGAAATTACCTACTCTCCCGTGCTCTTACAGTTGAAAGAGGACAAATAGATTTTGTTCTAGATGTTCTAACAATAAGAAGAATATTAATCCTTCCACTCAGAATGTACATTTCAGGATAAATTATACCTTTTTATGAAGTTGCCAGAAAATGAAATGGAAATAATTTCCAATGGCTATCACTACTAATGTATTTAACAGCTCCCTTTTCTTTTGAGTAACACCTTAAAAATTACTATAAGTTGCTAAAAAAGGGATTCCTATATGAATAGAGTAACACTGTTCATACCAATTTTTACTTACATTTAGAAAGCCTTCCTTCAGTAAATAACACTGGTTGATTATTTGATTTAATTTCCATTGGGTCAGATGGAAAATCACCATCCAAGGATTACTTTCAGGATAGCAAAATAGTGGGTTGGACTCAGAGGGAATCTGTAACTTTGCTCATTGATAGCATTCCAGAAGGAGGCAGAGAGAGGGGAAGATGTAAAACCTCTCTTTGCCATTTGTTCAAATGCCCTCTTGGTCTTCACTAGCAGTGAATTTCCATTTTTTCATTTCTTCTAGCGTTTTGTGCTACTCATGTAATTTGCACATTTGGAAGAAAACCAACCAGCGCTATTATTACCCCCATGGAAGGGCTGTGCCGGCTCCCAATAAGATAGCCTAGAAACCAAAACAGCCTCCATATGATCATGACACCGGGAGGTGTCTCCAAGAGTCTCATTTGTGTTTGAGTATGGGCAGAACTGTGGTCCTTCTCCAAGGGTCGTGAAAGTGTACTGCAATTGGTTGGATTCAAAAGAAAAGGCGAAGGAGGGATTTTTGCAATAGGTAAATTCATATAGATTTGAGAACTTCTGGGGATACAGAAGGTCTGCTACATCTCCTGCAGACCTGCATAAGTCATTTATTTGTTTACTGTTGTTGCCTCGTTTGATCTACTAATCAAATTGTATCTCCACAAAGAGCAAACTGTGTTCTGGAGAGAAACAAGGGCTGTTTCCTCCACCACCCGGAGGAGGGTGACTCCTGGAGACTGGATTGTGGTGGCTTGGGGCTGGACATTTCAGGAAGCCTACTGCTTAAACCACTTTCTTGTTCTTCCCTTCCCCAAAAAGTGGGGCCAGCCGGCCAACTGATGGGTGTAGGACTCAGGGCTGACTATGGTCTCCAGAGTGTTTGCTCTGTGTCCTAGGGAGATAGCCTTCTGGATAGGTTGGTTTTCAGTTGGGAAGTTAGTTTTTTGCTTCACAGATCATGGAGTTTCCCTTCTACCTACAGTGTTGAGAGTAGGCGAGTCAAAATGAATTGCAATACAATGGAGGTAGGAAATGTACAATTTTTACCTGGATGTTAATATGGTAAAGTAGATGAGCAATGGGAGTTGGCAAAGGGAGTTGCCATTCTATGCTAGAATGGCAGCCATACCAAAGGTTACCCAAGGAATTAGAGATAAAAAGAATAAAGCAAAGCAAGAGAAAGACAATACAGTAGAGGGCAGGTGGGAAAAACATGCACTTCAGATATTTTTAACATTCAGGAAAGGGTGTTAGATATAGTAATGTTTTTAGCAATTTGCTGAAAGTGAACCAAAATCATTATCAGGGAAGACTTTGGCATTGAGAAAATTTAATATCTGAGGCAGGTTACAAGTGCCATTGACATCATAAGAGGATCAAAGAGAACAAAAAAATCAAGATCTGACTGGAATTCATGAGTGGAACTGAAGAGCATACTGCTTATCCCTGGCAGACAATCATATTCAAATTCTGAATAGGGCTGAATTCACAGTAAAAAGTGACTGCATGTAGTTTACTTCATTTTTATTTTATAAACACTTTATAGCTTTGTCCTATGGATATATTATGGCTAGTTTAATTCCTAATAAATCAGTTTTGTTTAAAAAACACAATTGAATAATATCCCTCAGTTATTATGTAGAGTAGAAATGACTGAATATAAATGAAATGCATGATCATTTGGTCACAGAATGAATCTCAGTCCTTGCTTAGGTAAACCTGGTAAAAATAATAGGGGATGACATGATCGGTGTGTTGAAAAGGGGGTTGTCAAAGTACAGCAGACAGAGCTGGGCACGATGGCTCATGCCTGTAATCCCAGCACTTTTGGAGGCTGAGGCAGGTGGATCACGAGGTCAAGAGATAGAGACCATCCTGGCCAACATGGTGAAACCATATGTCTACTAAATATATTTTTTAAAACTAGCTGGGTGCGGTGACATGTGTCTATAGTCCCAGCTACTCAGGAGGCTGAGGCAGGAGAATCACTCCAACCTGGGAGGCAGAGGTTGCAGTGAGCCAGGATCATGCCACTGCATTGCAGCTTGGCAACAGAGCGAGACTCTGTCTCAAACAAACAAACAAAAAAAGTGTAGCAGACAGAGCAGCAGCACTGAACTCTAGCTGACCTGGTAAAACTCCATCTGAGAACTCTAAGTATAAGAGGGCAGCCATTTAAAAACTGAGTATCTAATGTCACTAGAGGTTACAACCGATCTACTGTATATAATACATAAGTGATAAATGCGATTCTTAGAACAAAATGGTGGTGTTATACTCAATATACTAGCAATTAATCCCGTAAAGTAAGTGCTATGACTTCAATACGTCCACCAAAATTTATGTGTTTGAAATTTAATCCTCAGTGCTATAGCGTTGGGAGGTGGGGCCTTTTGGGAAGTGTTGCAGTCATGAGGGCTCTCTCCTCATGAATGAATTGATGCCACTATTAAAAAGGCTTACAGGGGTGAGATCTCTCTCTCTCTCTCTCGCTCTTCTGCCATCTGAAGACAAATTTTCCTCCTTTCCTGAGGATGCAGCATTCAAAGTGCCATCTTGGAAGCAGAAAAACTGGTCCCTAACCTGCCAGTGTCTTGCTCTTGGACTTCTCAGTCTCCAGAACTGTGAGAAAAAATTTCTTTTCTTTACAAATTACCCAGTCTGTAACATTCTGTCACAGCAGCACAGAGTGGACTAGACAGTAACCTCCTGCTCAGTTCTCACACATTCATAAAGAAAATCCTCTTGAATTGTCTGCTTTCTGTTGTTTGGTTTTGGATATACTCTCAGAACCTGAAAAATTTACTTAGCCCAAACTACTGACAGCCAGTACATAACTGGTAATCTCTTCCTTTTGAATACTTTGTGTTTTGATTTTCAATTATAGGTATTTCTTTTAAACAAGTTAAAACAGGAAAATCAAAATACTATGTCCCTAGAAGAAATCTTTAGGACATATCTCTCTTGCAAGAGGAGAGAAATTTCTGAAATTCAAGCATCCTTTTTAGGATGTTTGACTATCAATTATTGTTATTTCTAATGCAGATCCTTAGTAAGACATCTAAACAAAAATCACTAAGCATTAAGTATCTTTAAGGCATTTCAACAACACAACATTATGTACCAGTTAATCATCATGAACTCAGACATTATTGAGTATCCCATTATTATATCTATTGGATTTTCACTATATTTTTCATCCGGTAAGTAGGTCATTTATTTAAAGGAGTATCAGCCACTCAATTTTAGAATCAACAAACCCAGAGAAAGCTACTTTAAAATAAACATCTTTAATGTTTTGGTCTTGTCAAGTATGTGCTAAGGTCATATCCAGACATCCATATTTACAAATCAGAAAATGTAATGTTCATTTAGTATAAAACTAATTTGAAAAAACATTGGCTGCTTGCATATTTCTAACATCTTACAAAAAAATAAGGCCTTGTGTTGTAATTCCATTTCCAAAAGTGATAGGGGATTTCTTTGAAATGCCTGGACAATGATTACTTTTGCTAGCATTACTGTTGTACCTTTCTTTCTTTTGAGACAGGGTTTCTATTTGTCATCCAGGCTGGAGTGCCATGGTGCGAATATGGCTCACTGCAGCCTCATCCTCTGGAGCAAGTGATCCTTCCACCTCGGCCCTCCAAGTAGCTGGGACTATAGGCACGTCCCACCATACTCAGCTAATTTTTCAGTTGTTTGTAGAGATGTGGTTTTGTCAAATTGCCCAGGCTGGTCTCAAACTCCTAAGTTCATGCAATCTGCCCACCTCGGCCTCCCAAAGTGTTGGGATTACAGGTGTGAGCCACCATGCCCAGCCTATACCTTTCTTTTATTTTGTGCTTTAAGACAGGTTTTACATGCTTACATGTTTGAATTTCACCCTTTTGCGAGTAGGGGAAAAGCACTCACAACTGATGAATAGATGGGCGTAGTTTTAGAAATCTTTACAATGAAGAAATAATAAAAATGTGTAGATTTCTCCACTTGATGACTAAGTCAAAAAATGTGGCTATATGTGAGATTCACAAAATAATATTTACTATTATTGCTTCTTCCCAGTCAACATTGTAAAATATAGGAGTGGTATATCACGTTCTTCTTTTCTCTTGCCACAGCTATAGGTGGGTCCTTCATTCTTCTTTCTTTCATCTCCCTCACAAACTGCTTCTGGGCTTATATTAAAAAAGGACAGCTCCGATTATACTTGTTCCATGCTGAAAGCTTTCGGCTTATCCTTTCCAGTTAGGCTTATCCCAAGTACAAATGTTGCTAAATGAAACTGCTTAACATATTATTGAAGGCCTGACAAGACTTGTCCTCTATTGATCTTTCCAGTTAAATGTTTCCTTTACCAATTACTCTGGGCAAAGTGCACCTTCTTTTTTTCCTAAATGGACCTTAAACTTCCTTCTCCCTCTGCCTTGGCTCAAGCCATTCCCCCTTCTCAGAATACTCTTTCTGTCCCCTGACTCCACCCCCAACTCCCCAGCACTATCCCACCTCAATGCCTAGCTCCAATCCTTCCCTTCAGGAAATCTTCTGGCCCTACTAAAGGTGATGCTTCCTTCTAAAACATGTCACTTCTTGCAGCTCCTGTAATGTGGCACGGTGTTCTGCATTATGTGATAAGATATGTGTACATATCTTATTTTTCCTACTATTTTATAAGCTTTGGGAGTAAAATAACTCCTTTATTCATCTTTGTGTACCTTACAGAAAGTAACACTGAACATAGTAGAGGCTTTTTCCATGTGGCCAAATCTTAGATAAAACTTCAAACCTTGAAGTAACATCTGGTTTCTTTAATCTTGTGTTTTACATACATAATGATCACCTGTTGATGATACTGCCTTGCTTTCATATTCTAGCTGAATATATGACTTCTCAGATCCTTTCACTGACATATTACTGTGATCTTATGTAATATCATCTTCACTAATCTCTTTGTTGTTTTTTAAGTTTTTTTTGTCAGTCAGTTGCAAATTCCTTTCAATGTTCACCTTGAACTTACTGCCTTGGCCTTCTTTAGAAGTGTTAGATGTACATAAGGAGAAAAAAGATTATGCTGTTACTGGAGCATCATATTCTTAAATACTACCAAAATGTATCTGCGAAAGGGCTTTTCTGATCATCCTAGCTCCAACATTGTTCAAAAGATGGAGTATTTCACATGAAAGACTGAGTTATCTAACAAGGTTTGAGTTCAAGCCTGACCATAAGAAAACTGTCTCTTTCTTTACTTCTTTCTTTTTTTCCTTCCTTCCTTCCTTCCTTCTTTCTTTCTTTCCTTCCTTCTTTTTCTTTTCTTTCTTTCTTTTTTCTTCCTTTCAAGTTTCATGTTGGCGCTTAACAACTTTGTCCTGGTTCATTAGCATGCTATCTTCTAGAAAGTTCCATTCCTATCCTAGTAAACTTCTAATTGGGCAAATAAAGAGCAAAATTTTGAGACAAATCAGGTATTTCCTATCTACTCCAAAATAAAAAAGAAATGTAAAAATCATAACCAAATCCGTTTTTATTGTTGCTTATACCAGGCAAAAGAATATATATAAAATGTTTGTTTCTCTTTGCTCTCATTCCATGTATTGTTCCTTCATTCCTGCCTTAACCCCACTAGCTGGCCTTTTTTTTTTTTTGGTTTGTTTTTAGCAAGAGGAAGGCACTCTCATCCATACCTTTTTAGTATACATTAATGTTTTCTTTCTTGCTATTTGTATTACTCTACTCAAATAGTAATAAAGTATACCAGAATTCCTAATACTAAAACATTCCTAATTCAAAAGACATTTCATGAGAACAATAAGTGGTGATTATTGTTCTCATGAAATGTCTTTTGAAACTTAGAAACAAAACAAAACTAACTTTTCCCCCATTCCAACCCCTCCTACCTCAAATAGCTTCAAGTTAAAGGAAAAGAACCTGAGATCATTCAACAGGGAATTCTGGGGAAAGACATTCCCTCTAGGAATAATTCAACAATTGCAATCAGTTACTGATACTGATGATAAACAGAACTTACAGAATTGGCTTGTTTTCGGGCTTGGTTGATCAATTCCTTTATCTCAGAGATGTTTTTCTTCAGGTTATCCTCAAGCTCCTTGATGGGTTTGAGTTTATCTATTAGCCGGTCAGCTTCCTGTTGTAGATTTTTCACAGTGGCATCTGCATCTGCAACTGCATAGAACAGAATCAGTGTGCACGTATACGCATGCACACACGTGCACACACAGAATTAGAATAGCAGTATGCTTAACCAAACAATTTCATCTTATTAACATGACAAAGCACGGCCATAACTGCTAAAGCAAAACGTGTGATGGCAAATGCGAATATTTTAGTTGAGACTCAAGCAGGTCAGAGGAGTAGATGTTAGGACAGAGGGCCATCACTTTTGCTTTGTGATTAAGGTAAAAATTAGCATTGAAGATAGAGAATATGAACTTAATTCAATGCTTAATTTCTAACTTCAGCCAAAAAGTTAACCTTTATAGAATAGAACTTCAGTTGCAGAAGCAAGGAAATGAAAGCATCTTTAAAATGTCACCTAGTCTGTCCAAGCCAGAACTGTATTTAAATTAGGGTTTTTACACAAAATTGGTTTTCTTTCTTTTTCTCACTGTCTTTTTTTTTGCACCTCTTAAAGAGAGAAGCTATCAAAATGTCTTTTGAAGAACATTTTGATGTTGAAAAACCCTTAGACTAAAGCTCTATATCCCTTAATTAAATCTTTCATGGTGCAGTTCAGTTTCATTTTGAAGAATAGTTGATTATCCTGTATTATATATTAGATTGACCCATATTAAACAGCTGTTTTTGTAGGTTAAAAAAAAAAGGTTACATATTGGCAATTTCAAAAGTTTCAACCCTAGAATAGTTGAAGGTCATCACTGATCCATAGACTTTTAGTATGTGCTTTTCAAGGGAGGGCATATGACACGTGGTAAACCTCTTATTCTACTGCTGAGATGCTGGTAGTCTCTTCCACACTATGTCATTTATTATCTGATTAAGTGTGTATTGTTCAGCTTTCTGTCATTGTGACTCCAATGAAAAAGTTAAACTGCTTAAGGTTCGAGGCTATATGCCATGTTAGACTCTCAATGATCTACTCTGCAGCTGATAGACAACCACTGAGAACTAACCACAAGGAACGAATTAAATGTGCTCAAAGGGATGTAAATTATTATTTTTTTAAAATTAGGTTTTGAAGTAGCTCTTCTGAACTCGTAATCATAACTCATGACTTATATTGTTAGTGGCATTTAAAAAGAACATAGGTCTATTATTAACTTTAATAGATTTGCTATATCAAGAACTGGGTGCAGTATTTTCTTCCTGAGATGCATGTTATCTGGATAGAAGTGTGTGTTACATCATCATACAGATAGGATAAACACAGTTATCTCTTTATTTTGTATAATTTTAATAAACCATTTGTTCATTTTCCCCTTCCTTTAATTCTCCATGGTTATTCTGACATTCTACAAATTATTCTAACACTGAGGCAAAATGATTTAGATTTAGATTAATGAGAAAGAGAAAAAGTAGTTAAACAAAGACTACACAGATTTAGGCAAATTACAGACCCTTTTATTCTCAAGTTCTCAGGAATTTTTGCCAAACGTTTCAAAATGGGACTTGGAAGTTGGTCTTCTCCCTGCTTTTTCCTGTATCCTCTGGAGCAGCTGAAGTTTTGCCAAGTAATCTCTTACGTCTTAAATTGCCTCCCTTATCTAGTCACCTCTTAGATTTATCAGGTCTATTATTTTCTGTCTTCAAATTCATTAATTTTTCAGTCTTTTTCATTCTTTAAGTTAACTCTGCTTTTTCTAAGTCACCAAGTTGATTGTTTAAAATTATTATTTCAGTGATGGTTTAGTCATGTAATCACTCTAATTTTCCACTGAGGACACCCTTGATCATAATTTTCAAATATTGATATGTTAAATTTTGTTGTTGTTGTTATTATTTTTGTAGGTATGTTTTTCAGTTTTATTTTGACTTTCAATTTAAAATATGGGATGTTTAAGGGAGAATATTTTTATATCCCAGTAGGTGCTCACTTGTTAAGACCTGATTTTATTATGTGTTTCTCCAAATATAATTCTACAGAAGTTGAAATTAATTACTAACAAGGAGAGGAATATGTGAGTTTTGGGGTGGGTGGGTGGGGGAACAACAACGATATTGATCTAATCTATTTTAATCCTGTTGCAAATAAGTCATTTGTGTTTCAGGGGCTGAATTTATATTATCAGAAGCAATGTAATCTAGTTAATTCTATAGAGAAATTCAGCTTTCCACTTTTATCTGGCTATCATACATGTATTTCACTCATTTTTCCTTTTTGTAGAAATAAAGTCTTGCTATGTTTCCCAGGCTGATCTCAAACTCCTGGCCTCCAGTGATCCTCCCACCCTGGCCTCCCAAAGTTCAGGGGTTAGAGTATGAGCCACTTCGTCTGACCAAACTTTTCATAACACTATTAAAAACATTTTGTATCACCTATATCCACATATCACATTTTTATAAAGGAAGATGACTTTTACATATCTACCATTAATACTGTGACAGTGGAAAGAATAGCTATGCAATGTTTAAACAAAACCAAAACATAGTACATGCAAAGCCAAAACTTTTTGCAAAAGGCAATGAAGCACGAGCGTTACTAAAAGGTATATAAGTAAATATATACATACTGATTTCTGTAGGCAATTTCACATGGAAGCAAAACAAAGAAAATTGAAAATTCATGAGGAAGTATTTTCTATAAATATTATAAAGTAGTAACTATAAAAAATGGTACTTTTCATAACAAGTACTAATTATAAATGCAACCCATTTTAACTCACCAAATGTCATCAAATGAAAGTGCACAAAATATATCATTTAGTGGCTACTATTTGTATTTTAAAAACTATATCTATGTTCTAGTAAGATAGAAAACAGACCCAATTTAATTAATATTTATAGATAATTAACTGTTTCTCGTAATAGAGGATAAGATCAAAATGGAGATGTTATGAAAGGCCACTACCAGTTGAGAATCAGTCTAAAATAGAATGGAATTCTTTTGGAAGGTAGAGTGCAGGAGGAGGGAGAGCGCCAAGAAAAATAACTAATGGGTACTCGGCTTAATACATGCTTGATGAAATAATCTGTACAACAAACCCCCATGACACAAGTATACCTATGTAACAAACCTGCATTTATACCCCTGAACTTAAAATAAAAGTTTTAAAAGATAGCTTAAATTATAAAATAAGCAGAAGAGATAGTAATATTTGCTTAAAATTTTGTTTCATTCATTTTTAGTGGGAATCTTGTGATTTGGCATCTATGAGAAGAAGTTATTCTTATGGAATCTTCGAACTACAAGGGAAGCCATTTCTGGGCTTACATTACAAAAATTTTAATGTTTTTATCTCCCCTTTCTCCCTGGCTCTGATGTTTACGTTATATGTGTTTGTACTCTTCCTTGCTCATGAAGGAGTCATGTTAATAGTGTCTATTATTTCATAGCATCCATAGGATTTGATTTGAGGAGAGGATGCTGAAATCAGGCTCCATTCCTCACTCAAACAGCATTTGAATTGTATGCCATATGATACCAATTGTATGCCATATAATACCAAGTGCTTTTGCTTTTATACTCCAAATATTTTGATATCCCCCAAAACTGTTTGCATATAAAGAGGGCTAGTCTCTTGAAAGTGAAAATCACAAATTACGAAAGCATCTCCTTTGGTGAAACTGTGTACCACGGTTACCAAGATAACCCCCCCCCCTTTTTTTTTTGAGACAGCATCTTAATCTGTCACTCAGGCTGGAGTGCAGTGGTGTGAACACAGCTCACTGCAGCCTCACTCTTCTGTGTTCAAGGAATCCTCCAGACTCAGACTACAAGTAGCTGGGAATACAGGTGCAATGTCACTACCATGCCTGGCTATTTTAAAAATCTTTTTGTAAAGATGGGGTCTTGCTATGGTGCCCAGGCTGGTTTTGAATTCCTAGGCTCAATTGATCCTCCCGCCTCAGCCTCCTAAAGTGCAGAGATTACAGGTATGAGCCACTGTACCTGGCCCAATATAGCTTTGTATCATTTGACAGACAAGGAAAAATGCATTTAAAAATTTTATTTTTTGACTATATTTAACTAATAATAAAAATTATATTTTCTCTCAGGTTTTCTCAGTAAATCCTTAAGTCAATAGAATTTGATGCAATATATAAAAGATGTGATTAGTCTTTAGAAATCAGATAAACACATTATTTTCATTTCCTGGAAATGTTAAATAACTGGAATCTAAATTATAAAATATCAAGATTTTCAAATATTAATGCATTTCAAGTTGATATCATTTTCATACCCTGTTCTAACAAGTCTGCTAATGAATGTGCCCCTTAACCTCTGTGTTCCATGAAACTTCGCCAATTCTGAGGATATAATTACCCAAGTACAATTGTATTTTGAATTACACAAATGGGTTAAAAAGTGTTTGGCATCTCTATGCCAAATATCATGCAGACCTAGAGAATTCCTAATCTCTTCTCAACTGGAAAAAAATCAGATGAAAAATGCAATGGGGCAGAGCTGGAAGACTTGGATTCCAGCTTTGGAACTTCAGGACACTGGACTCCTGATCCCAGTCTGTGAAACAAGGAAGGCAGACTACACCACGGAGAGGGTCATTTCCAACTCGAGCATTTACGAGTCTGGGCTCCTTTTACAGTGAGAGGAAATAAATGGCATCATCACAGTGAAAAAGGAGATCTTACTGTTCTTGGAAGGATCTTTAACCACGGCATTCGTTTTGGCTACGCTGTCTGCTAGTTTATTGTAATTCTTCTTCAGGCCATCGAGGTTCTGGTGGAGCTCTTTAATCTGTGCCAGTACATCTTTAGCTGTGTCGTTGGCTTGCCTGGCTTTGTCCTTAACAGCTTGCAGTTTAGCAGCTGTGTCTGTCAGCAGATGAGCGTATGAAAAACAAAACAAAGGGTCTGGAGTTAGTGGCTTAATCCATGCTTGTCAGAGTGAGGCTGCGGCTGGCTGACCTCAGGGATGAATTTACAAAGGGAAAAGGCTGAACTTTGTCTCATAAAGGTGTAGCAAATGAAGCAAATATTTTAGCTAAATTAAATTTTCTCAGGGACGTTTGCTATGAATACCTGATTAGCTCTTAACGTAGCAAAGTGACTATTCTAAACGTTCATTGTATACGGTCATATTACGATTTGCTGCTGAACTTATTAATGAGACAAACTTATCCATGGGAGCTTCATCAAAACTAGGTTAAGATTCAATCTGCATTTCCAAAGCAGGGCAGGGGTCGGGGTGGGGGTTGGAGGGAAACGAATATATTTTCATGTTAGGATGGAAACTATTTTCAGGTATGTTAGGCTATGCATTTGTATATTTATGTTTGTTTTCACCACTGGAAATTTTCTATGCACTTACAACTGAAGAAGTGACATGAAAATCTGAAAAGTTACTCAAGTTTTTTAATGTTAAAAAAGTAAACACCTTTTAGATTTTAATATTAACTGTGTTGTATAAATATGTGCATTTGTCTCCTGCTTCTAATTTGTATATTGTACCTATAGATGACTACTAGTGTGTATAGGTTAGCGGTTAAGATCCCAGGCTCTGAAATCAAACTGTGGGGTTTAAGTGTCCTATGTGCCACATTAACAGTGTCCCTCAGGATCATGAGTCAGTTTCTTACCTATAAAGTGGGGATGAGAACACTATCTTAGCTGATGTTAAGTGTGAGTGCTAACTTATGTTAAGATAGTGTTATGGCAATAACACTCTCTATACTTATGCTATCTATATTCAATATACTTAAGTGAAGTGTATGTAATCCTCATACCATTTGGAGCCAAAAAAATTTGCTCCAATTGGTATGAGGATTACATACACTTCACATAAGTATATTGAGTACTCAATAAGTGTTTATAATCTTTGTTGTTGTTACATAATGCTTTAAAACTATAATATCAGTAAAAGTAGTATCTTTAAAATAATGTATGCTTTCAGGAACTAATATCACATGATAATTTCCAGCAGTTCTAACAGGTAGAAAGATATTATAGACATGGTTTGACCACCGATGTTTTTCAAAGTTGGGATTGCTTAAGAAATTTAACTGTATTAAAAGAGAATGCAGTGAGCTCTCACCTCTTACTGCAGGTACTCTAATGGACTGTGGCTTTGTGGTACATCAGTATTTTAGAGAATAGTGTCTATGTGATTTATTCTATCTCACTAATACATGATTTATTGTGCTGAAACACAGAAGACAATACAGTTGGCCCTCCATGTCAGTGGGTTCTGTATCTGTAAATTCAACCAACCTTGGATAGTTGGATATTTAAGGGAAAAAATGGATGGTTGTGTCTGTACTGAACATGAACAAACTTTTTTTCTTATCATTATTTCCTCGATAATATACTATAAAAATTTATATAGCATTTACATTATATTAGGTATTACAAATAATCTGGGGATTATTTAAAGCATATGGGAGGCTATGCATAGGTTATATGCAAATACTATGCCATTTTATAAAAAGGGACTTGAATATCCAAGAATTTTGATATCTCTGAGGGGTCCTGGAATCAGTCCCCTGCCAATACTGAAGGATGAGTTTTATAATAATAAGATGACTGTATCTTCCTTTTTGTAACATAGTCCTAAGGATACTGACTAAAGGCAATCAAAGATTAAAAAATACCATAATGCAAAGTATGGTTTAGTTTCTCATTCTCACAAAGAAGAATTCATAATTAAGAAAACAAGTATCTAATTTCCAGATAATAGTACAATAATAATCTTAGAAAAAAATGATAAAAGTTAACAACAATATTTAAAACTTCAGGTTAACTGACACAGTTGGTGGTGTCCTGAATGCTTACCATTTGGAATAGCTGATAACTTTCCCAAAGTGTCATTCAAAGCTCTCAAGAGATCCCCATTTCTATCATCAGCATTTTCTATCCTGGTTTTTAAGTCATTTAGATGGTCTTCATTTTCTGTGAACAGAAAACAGAAAGAGTATTAAATAAGTTTTGTCATCTCTGAGCTTATACCTGGATGTAGCAATTTCAGGTTATTTTAATATAAAATCAATAAAAAGCAAGAAAATGTATTTAATGTATTGGCATCTATACATAAATATATTTCTAATCATAATAAAATATGTGTTTTATTATCATTGAATCATTGGATACTTCTACATGTTGAACAATGACATTTTCTTTTTGGTATCTGATCTTTATTTTCCTATAGAGGAGAAACCTCCAAAGAATTAATCTTTTATTACATTTGTAATAATGCCCTCTAGTTATCACTCCCATTGATTCCACTTATTTAAAAACTTTTATTACCAAAAGGAATCATTGGGTTAGATTTTCAAAATCTCAGATATGATTGTTGAGCAGAATCCCCCAACTTTAGTAAACAATATTTATTTGGGTAAAAACATAAGTTAAAGAAATTGAAAACTTTTAGCACATATATGACAATAATCATTTTTCTCATAAAGAAAATAATATTTTTACAAATTGGGCCCAAGAAACTTTACATAGATTTTTTTGTCTTGCTACTTTAGCAATGTTATCTTTAATATCCAAAAATACCATTTGCTAGAGATAATTCAATGTTACATATACAAGTTTTCCAGCTTCTTTCCACTAGCTTTTTAATGTTCTCTAAACTTTAGGTTAATTTATATTGTAATAGTAACTAAGCAGTTTAAATTCAAGTACAACAATATAAAGAGTAAAACTTGAAATCATTGAGGGGAAAGAAAATAAAGATCCAAGCTGTTGATATAAGTTTAGAAATCATGCTCAGGTATGCATTAAACTGCAAATGCATCATAAGACTGAAATGGAGCTCACCTGTCTTCTTTTTCTTACATCATGTATTACTGAAAACTGAAATTGAAAAAAAATGGGAAAACTTCTATACTTCCCACAATACTATTTACCTCTCTTGACTGCATACAACGGATCATTTCTTAGATAGATTTTTAATAGTTTCTTATGCCATAAAACTTTTTTTGGGGGGATGCATACTAGTTGTTAAATTAGCTCCACAGAAATGCAATATTTAAACACAAGTCAGAGTCCCCAAGTAAGGAGGAGCACTGAGAAAGGACCAAGAAAGAGAAGGTGTTCCAGTCCCTCCTGGATAGGATGGACCAATATTTAGTAAGAGTAATGCCTGACAAGCATTGAGTGTGTATGTTACACGGATTTAGTGTTCATTAGTTTCAGTGGGTTGTTTTACTTAATCCTTACAATAACACTGATGTATGATGTATATGATGATGTAATACTATTACAATCTCCAATTCACAAATGAGGAAATTGAGACTTAGAGAATTTAATCAAATTCCCTAAGCCTGCATGGTTAATAAATGGCAGTGGTAGTATTCAAATCTGCATAGTTTCATTCCATAAATAGTGCTAACTACTGCCTTCTACCAGGGACTGATAGTCAAAACCAGGGATTAGTAGAGCATGGTGGGTGGTAGTGCTCCTCCTGCTCTCACCCTCAACCTTTTCTTCCTGTCTTCCTCCTTTCCTTTGTCTTCCTCTCATTTTTCTCACTTGTTGTCTTAAAAAAATTGGTCACAGTTACAGAAATCAGAGAAGCCTCACCTAAGCAACATGCAAAACCAAATTGTAATTATTCAGAGTGGATTAGCATTGTCTATGTGCAAAACTGGGAGGCAAATATGCGCAGTGTTCCATGTTTTTAAGAATAATCAGTAAAATATGAGGATAGGTAGTTCACAATAAAATAGACATAAATAATCAGTTATGAAATTCCTAAAAAGCACTCAATATTATCATAAAGAACTGTAAAACTAAGCAACAGTGAGATGTCATTTGTCATCATTCAGACTGTGGAAAGTTAAATGTATGTTCACAAGAGTGTGAGTGGAAGTGCAAATTGATTCCATTGTTTAAAGAGCAATTTAATAAGTTTATTAGAATTTTAAATAGACATATATTTGGTTTGGCAGTTCTACCGACAGAAATTTACCCTACAATATACTTGTAAAAGATTTAACTTTGGGGATACTCATAGCTCTCTATTTGTAATAGAAAAAAGGGGGGTGGGGATAAAAATACCCTAATAAGATTAAAGTACTGTTTGTATCAACATAGCATGTTCATGCAACGGTACATATGCAACCTATAAAAAGAGGTAGATGAGTGGATGTGGACATGAAACAAACCTTAAGACCTTTCCATGAAAATAAGCAAGATGCAGCACATATACACTGACATGTACGCAAACATTTGGCATGGTAGGGTCTGGTGGGAGCTGGGTAGAGAACATGCCAAAAACCTTTACAGTACTTAGAGTGAGTAGAAAAGAGGAATGAATGAGGCAGTTAACAGTGCCTTGAGGGACAATGTACTAAAATGTCTCATTTTATACCTGATTGTGCTGGGTAAATTACTTTCCGTGTGCATATATTTCTATATTTTTATTTTTAAAAAAAGCATAAACCATCTAACTGGGGAAGAATGTTATTCGCTATCTTGATGTTATTTGCCAACACCAAGACTGTGGTTTTCATTACTTTCCTGGTACCCAGAGAAGGCAGATGGGAGAGAATATGCCCCATAGAATAGAGCTGGGGCAGTCTTGATTTGTGTGTGTGTTCACCCCTTTCAGAGGTAGTGCATGTGGCTCATTAGAGGAGCCGTGCAGGCCATGGGCAGCTGGAGAACTATCCTCGTCTTTATTGGCCTGCATCTGCAAAATATAGCAAAGAAAAACCTGGATGGATGGAGGATTCTGAACTATCAGTGTCTGGATGTGAAGAAGGGCACTGAACATATTAATTAATGATCCACTCCATTTCATATAGAGTTTTATAGGCAGACACCTCAAACCTCTGTTATACTATGGATTATAGTAATACAAGCATATAACATTGTTTAAAGTGTCTGTTGTTAAATTTCAAGCCCAAGAGCTGACATCACTGAAAAACAAGGCATAAAATATTTCAGCAAAGCATGGCTCTAAAACATCAATATGTCTACTTCAGTAACTAATATATTATTATTTTATATTCTAATCCAGCAAAACATACTTTCCAAGTAATTGAATTTCTCCTCTGTCAATCACAATTCATCTTTCTTATAATACTTCTGTTATTTTTACTGTTTATACTAAAATAAAATCTTTGGATAGGTTACTAAAAGCATACTCTCTGAAATAAAGCCAGTCTGATTATGGCTGTGATATCCACACAAATTCTTTGAGAATAAAGAGCTGCTCTTTTGATATTAGCTTGACAGTCTTCAACACTTAAGAAAATGGAACTGTAGAAATTTCCTTTTTTAGCTTCTTGATTGAATTTAATTTTTAAAATAACGAAGCATTCAAATGTTCTGGCAAGCAAGATATTCATGTATGATGAAGAAAATCATTAATTTGAAGGGGATCCCTGGGTTTATACCACTTTCTGCATTCTGATAGCAAAATACTGTCTGAATAATTGGGCCAATTGTTCAGAAGAAAGTCTGACCTGAAGAATATTTTTGCTGCTGCCTCTCAAGTTCCAAAGCAATGATTATGACGCTCTGTATTTTTTGTTCTAGCAAGTTACAAAAATACAGAATTATATTCTGACCTTGTTCTGATTTTTTGTTTAATGTTTCAGCTGCTTGACTCTGATACTTATTAATTTGCCCTCTCTTATGCTGATCATTTTTTTCTAAAGTAGTTTCTGGAATTTCTTGAACCAAGTTTAAACATTTTGTAGTTTTGGTGATAGAATTAGATGAGTAGAAGCTATTCAGAGAAGAATTGCAAATTTCAGGATGGAGCTTACAAAATGATAGAGAGAAAAATCTAGAAAAATCAGCACTCCAAGACTGATTTTAACCAAAAGATGGAGGAGACATAGTGTATCCATAATTAAAATGTAAGAAAGAACTCTTGTGGTTCAGTTTGGATTGTAACAAGGGTGAAGAAACAGAATTATTGATAGTTAAAAGGAAATCCAACTGAATTTTTTTACTTGTGATTTCTGGAGAAGATGAAGATTTAATTTATAATCCACAGTTACATTTTTTAGATTCCCTCTCTTTATTCCTTCAGCTCTCCTACCCAATAACAGAAGCCTAGTCATTCTATTTTTTCTCTACAGATCGCATTCACCAAAACTCAAAGGCTACACATACATATATCTTTAGTTCTAGCTCTCCCTTTCTCATATTCTCTTCATACAGAAGACAAATGCCCAAGAATTAGTTTGGCAAAGGCAAGGCTCACAAAATGAGGAAATGGAAGAAGTAGAGCAGGCAAGGGTCAACTGAGAACACACGGACAGTGTAATTTTCCTTTGTCACATGCCCATTGAAATGTCACAGGATAGATATATCCAGAATAAAAATTGCAAGGCAGAGTTTCCAGTCGTTTGCACTAATAATGAGCAGTTACTCATGTTTATCGTGTCTTTGGCATGGTGCTAAATATAAATTAGGGCTTAGTTATATTAGAACTAACTATGTATGATCTCAAAATAGAGCTGCTACACATTATTTCACTGATCATTAGTAATGCTTTGCTTTATACAATTCTAGTAATTAAAAAATATTCTGGTACAATGAAATCGTTGTAAGACACAGGGTTGGAAGATGTGGGTTCAAATGTCATTTCTATCTGTTTTTAGATGTGTCAAATAAAGATAACATCTTCCTTCATGTGACTGATACGGAAAATAAATTGGGAGATTTTTGAGAAAGTGCTGGATTTACCATAGGCAGTTAGTAAAAGGTAATACATTGACATTAGTTTGAAAATTTTCCTGGTGTGTTTTACCAGTTTTTATTATACTAATGTTATTTATGACTTTATTTCTTCTTCATTTAAACTACTTGGTCCAGATTCTAAGTTTATTTCCTTTTTATATTTCCTAAGCATATGTATACATACATATATATTCCTTACTTTACAACTAAATATCAGGATGATTTTAACACATTTTAGTAGAAATGTT